AGCTATAAAATGCATTGTATGCGGCATTGAGTAAAAAAAATGAGGTGAAGTGATAGGCATTATAAGACTTCACAAAGTAATGGAATTCCTTGAATAGTGTAAAAGCCTTTACTTTGTATTATAGACTTGTGGTACGAATTGTTTTGTTCGCAATAAACCAATTGCCAAAACATCGGTAAATAACAGTAAATATCAGTGCAATTGCACCCAATTTGACCCTAATTTTGGGCCAAAATTTATGACCCTTTCATTGTTGTATTGCTTAACCACATGTGTTTTCATTATTATCAAATGTTTGGTCATTTCAATGCAATTCTAAAGTTAATCAAAACATGAAAATTCACTTTTGAATGAGACATAAGTGTCAGAAATACTACCATTTGTCTTAAAGTATATTCTGTCTATTTCTAAAATAAATTGACTATTATTATTATTACTGTATTATATTCAATAAAAAATAAGTTAGTGGTTTAAACAGCATATAAAAAGTTTTTATCGGTGGGTATAACAAATAAAACATGAGTAAATATGGATAAAACAAAAATTAATTTATATATTAAACTAAATGAAATAATATATATTTAATTCTAATTCATATGATTATCAATGAAACAGCTTTACAAATATTCAATGCAATAATTTTAGTGATACTAGATACAATAATTAGTGAATACATTTGTTGAGTACTTATCATATCGCATTATATATTATTGTATTTCTATTAAAAATACAAATGTTTATTAGATTATCAATTGTGATAATAAAGGTGTATTGACATTAAATTCAGATAAGTTTTCCATAAAAATGTCTCAAATCAGAAAAATTAATTACAAAACTGTAAGAAAATGAATTATTGTCATTTATAGGAAGTTTCAAAAAATAGTTATGATTTAATGGCATTAATGGACGAGTGGTTTACATTGAGATACAGTACATATCACAGGAAAACATTGCAAAAAGGACTACAAATAAAATCATGGTTTTATCAGATAATATCTAATCTAAAATACAATTAATTTAAGCAAAACAGACAAATAGAGCACATATGGAGTGATTAAAGTGATGAGATATAATGAAAAGCATTAAAATCAAATATTAGGGGTCATAAGTGGACATAGAGTGCAGTGACGCCAAATCAATACTAAATAATTCATTTGTTGCCATAAAAGACAATCACTACTGAATTAGTGGTGCTGTCGGTGCGAACAGAGTAGATGTGCCTCAATGTTAGTGCGGTTCACATATTGATTCAATTATAACTTATGACAGTAATTGCAGAACACATTAATAATAGAAAGCGATGTGAATGCGATAACAACTCATTTTGTTGCCAACATTACTAACATTACGCTATTATCTCAATACTAGTAGTCTATAAAGTAGTGAATACACTGCAGTCATCATTTCGGACTAAAGACAATGGACTGAATTTGCAGATTATTTATTATATAAACTCTTTTATCATATTCTGTGAGTTTTGCATGAATTGTCTTGAAAAAGAGTAAATCATTACAAATCTCTATTTGCAAGTTATCGCCTCAACATAACATAACATACATATGCCATACAATGAATCGACAAATTAAGGGCTTTTCTTCTGTTTTCGGCGGTTTTTTGATTCATTTAACTCTCGGGACTTTCTATACAATTGGAAATATGAATACATATATGACTTCGTATTTGAGAAGCATTGGAGAGAAAGACCTGACGTATAGCTCTGCCATTTGGATCAATACATCTTTTATAGCAGGAATGGGTGAATATTTTACAATTCTTTCAATTATTAACTTAATTATAACTTATCTAATAACAGGCTATAAGACATACGGTATATAGACTAATGTTATGATTGTGTTAGTCATCATTTAAATAATAAAACGCTTTTGTGTTTTAGTATATGTAATAGAAAGGGAGCACAAATGAAACACTGAGAACTGAGTGTAAGATATAGTGATTTATAGTATTGTCATATTCTTAGGTGCAATAATGCTTTTTGCGGGAATTGTCGACAGAAAAGTTGGCACATCTATAACCTGTGCAATCGGTTGTGCGATATTCACGTACTGTTCAAACATTTTCTTATTCTTATTTATCAAATATATTGTAATCTTTGTTTCACTTTTGTTCCCAATTTTCTCCCTTCAGAGCGTCGACTGCTATAACATATTTCAGCGTTCAGTCGAGCTTTTTGTTAGTTGTTATCACTTATGGTTTGATGCCTGCGTTGGGTTCTGGTCTGGCATATGCCGCACCGTTAGTTAATAGTATGAAAGTAAATGTGATTTTATTGATAAAATAGACTTATAATATACGATACATACAGCATACTATAGTATACATAATGTACACAATATTGCAATTCTGTAGTAAACAACATACAGTATTAAAGTGCTTATAAGTTGACCCACAGAATATTCCATGTAGTGTACAGTAAAATACAAAATAGGTTACAATATTAGACAAATACTCTATTCTTCTCTAATGTCACACTTAATGTATAATATCGGATGTATTATATAATTAATTAATCCTTTCATATATTTAAATGTTAATAAATAATATGAAAGTTGATACTTAATAATATATGAAACACTAATACAATTTTAATTTAGATTTTAAAATTCTAAATATTTAAATATTTGATTCAAAAATCAAATGATTGTAAGCCAAACTTAAGTCTAGCTATAAATTGTTTATGTTCACAAAATAAATATATTTATTTTAAGATAAACTTATTGAAAGCAACCTTATTAGAAAACTCCAATTAATTAATTTGAAAACTAAAATTAATTAAAATAATAAAATAAACATTTTTTTTATATAAAGTGGTTTCCAAACAACAAAGGCATAGTCACTGGAATAACTGTAGGAGGATTTGGTTTGGGAGCGCTTATATTTGACCAGGTTCAAACACTTTATTTAAATCCTCACAATTACTCGCCTAAAGATGACAAATCTATGTATTGTTTATTCTAAGTATATAAATTTGTAATTTTTTAGTTTCCTTTTAATTGTTCTTTAATTTAACAGTTATTTCCTGAATGAATCCATTTTGAAGAAAGTGCCAAAAATCTTCCTAATCTTGAGTTTAATCTATGGCTTCATTCAAATAATAGGCGTTTTATTTGTTTTTAATGCGGACAAACATTTATCGGTAATTGTTTTATATTTGTGTTCAAAAAATTTTAATTAATTTATTTTACAGAGATATGAATCAAATGAAATGAGTGAAAGTATTATAGAAGAAACACAAAGACATTCAGATATAACTCCTAAAAATGCTCTCAAATTTCTAAACTTTTATATTTTATGGGCATTATTTGCTTTGGGCAATCAAACAATGCTATTCATTAATACATTATATAAGGTACAAATTTGGAAACAATAAACTAATAATTAATAAAAATAATGTTTAACTAAATTGTCATTTACTTAAAGCCTTACGGAATAGATCTGGAATATGACGACCAGTACTTAGCATTAGTCGGTTCATTGGCTTCAATATGTAATGCCGGCGGAAGGATATTTTGGGGCAAATTAATGGATAAATACAATTTCAAAGTGAATTATATCTATAAATTTAGTAATAAAATATCTATTTTAATGCATGTTTCGTATTCTACAGAATTGTATTGTTATAGTATTTGGTTTATTATCTGTATTCATGTTTACTTTAATAATGTCATCTCATTTTGGAAAAGCGTTTTACACGATTTGGATTTTAGTCATATTTTTCTCATTTTCCGGAATATTCTCGCTCTTCCCAGCAGTTGTAGCCCATACTTATGGCCCGACTCACGCCAACACTATTTACGGAATGCTTTTTACAGCACCGGTATGTGTTGTATTTTAATCCTACAAAATTAATATTTCTCAATTCGGTTTTGTTTTGTAAGTAGGCTGTCACTGGAGTACTGGGGGCTGTTGTGTTGGAAATAGTGATAAATAAGCTAGGATGGTTTTACTCCTTTGCCATCGTTGGCATAATGTCACTAATGGGTAAAACTAGTCAATTAATTTGAACTTTTACATTGAAATACATTTAAATCTTCATTGTATCTTATAAACTACGGTAACTATTCACTAAAATTATAGTAACTACTGGTATAGTATAGTGTTTGAATACTAGTGTATGTATAGTATAGTGCACAACATCTACTCAACATTTTAAATATTATATCGTAATTTTGCATAAAAATAATTTATATTCCAATAAATGCTTGAGCTGTAAAAAATAATGTCTTCAATATTAGATCCATAAAAGGTTTTTATCTAACATTTTTAGCATTAGTTCTATAAAAACACTTTCTTGTAATGTATTTTTACATAAATACTGAATTTACATCGATTATTATACAAATTCAAGTTCTTAAAATTTGTATGTTAAGAATTGAAATTGTAATTAATTTAAGTTTCTTAGATATAACTTAAAACTTGAAATCTAAATATTTTTAGTTTTCAAAAAACATACATTAACTTACAGTAGATATCTAGTAATTTGCATGTGAATAAAACATTTTAATGAAATTTTTTACTTTATAGGCATGGTTATCTCAATGGTTTTTTATCGATAAGAGTTAAGATGTATAAATCAAGCAATTATTTATTTGTTAATTGTTATCTCTGATTTGTGAGAAAACTCCAAGTCTATAACTTGTGCAATAAAAATATATAAATAACTTATTTTCTAATCATATTATAATCTCACAATTGTAATTAAGATTAAGTTTCATAAATGGTTTGCAAAATAAAAATTCAAAGTTTTCTGTTTTCTTTATTTTTTATTAAAATGAAATCAAAAGACATGGGATTCAAATGCGAAAATAATGAGTTTTGTCGCAATATTATGAGGCATTTAAGTTACAAATGAGTGATTTAAAATCAATTTACAAATGTATTTATGATAAGTGAGTGAATGATTGGTTAATAAAAAAAATAGTCGAATAGTTAGCGATAAAGTCAGTAAAAGAAATTAAAATTTATAAGAGTTTTTCCAGACTTCAGCGAAAGTGATCGCGGAATGGAATCTATAAAATATAGATAAGGGAAGAGTAATCCGTAATATTAGGGTCCAAGTGGTGAGCCCATAGACGCTGAGCTGTACGGGTGATGCCTCCACTTTCTGCATCTCAAACGTATATACGATCCAAAGCGTTAAATTATTGATGAGCAAGAATGTGATCAACTGTCGACCCGGCTGTTTATGGGAGTTGCGTTTACGGCACACCACGTCTGATATGAACAGCGATTGAAGTGTTATCTAAACCAATAAAAGAGTCGTGAAAAACACATTAAAAGAGTGCATTTGGTAGGAGTGAGCGCCTAATATACCTGAACTATAGTGAGAGTACTGGTCACCAGAACCAGGAGATGTCGAATTGAATTCAATTCCATGGATCCGGCGATCACTCCAAACAGCGAATACGTGTAGAGACCGAAAGCCGCCACTCGGAGCAGCAAATCTCGTAGACCTCCATCTGCTGTCTCAGACACTCCTTAAACAAATGGATTCTTAAGTTAGCGATTCAATTGATACAAAGTATGATTATATGCATACCCGGCTGAAACTTCAAACGTCTGGTTTTGATGAATCCCAGCAAAATGGCAGCACAACTCAATATAAGAAGTACTGAATGCGAGATATCGCTGATAAGAGTTGCCATCAGTTTATAGTTAGGATTGTGAACCAAAACAAAGAATATGATGAGAGATGTGACAGAAATGGCCAAAAACAAGAATCCACTAAAAAGCCCTATTCATTGAAAATGTATTGATTATAAGATGAGTTTGATATGAATGGTTAGGTTTGTTAGACCTTTGCTCGACCCGAGGCAGCTGTAGAGCGCCGGTGAGTTAGAGCTGTAGGTATTGCTCGAAGTTGTACTTAAGTTGTCCACCTGAAGACCTACACCTATTGGTGATGTTGGCGTCGATGTGCTGTCGTTTCCGTTGCATAAGTTATTACGCTTTCCTTTGCCTATTGTAGACCACATGACATACAAAAACGCGGCTCCGATTAGTGAGTATTCAACGATAAATGGGTATAAATAAGGGGAGGCGTCCGATAATATGGTTCCCATTATGTTTTCCTTCTGACACGGATTACTCCTATTTATTGTCGTTGTCGTCGAACTCGTATTAACGGGGGCTTCAGTAATGAAGGAGTCGTGAAGGGATCGGGATCTGCCTCGAGATATCTGATTCCGAAGAGGAAGTATCAGTTCCTCCAGAAATGCGTGCGATGTCCCGCTTTTCAACTCCTTTTAGATTGCATTCAATAAATATAATATTAGATTATTATAAAATTATTCAGGCAAATAATTAAACTATTTTCACTATTTTCTATCTAAATTATTTTAATAAAACTTGTTCAAAATTATCTATATAGTAAACAATACTGTACTAGTACTTTTATGTTATAGTGTAAACTTGTTAGCTCAACTTTGTTGATACATTTAACTGTTATAGTAATACAACAAATTAAATATTACAAAGTATCTCATTATTTTAATCATAAAATAATTTGATTATCAATTTAAACTTTATTATCCACTTAACATATACCAATGTTAAATAACGACTCTAAAGAAATATTTTTAATAATAAAAATCCTATAAACTAAACTCAAATCAAATAATGAAAATCTTTTGCTTTACTTGATTGTAACTTATAATAGAAATTAGTCTCACATGAAGTGTTTCCTTTCCAAGAGTGCGAATCCAAACACAGCAATTAGTGCCAACCAAATGCATTAATCCTAATCTTGCGATTAGTTTGAATTTATTGATACACAGTCTTGAGTACGTAAATATGAAATACATTTGTGCGAATGTAAATGCCGCTTGAAGTATGGGATTAACTCCTATTATATAAATTTAATTAAAGTATTATAATTTGGATATTATTTCATAAAAATCTAAGTTATGCTATTTTTTTGTTATGTTATATTATATGATATAATTAAGTTATATTAATATTATTAGGTATATCGTACCCAAAAGTACAGAATAGCAGGGAGAAGTGTAGGGAATCTCAAAGTATGCGCCAAATTCGAGTCCGTTGTAAACCATAACTCCGAGTCCAAAGACAATACCACCGATTCGTAAAAATATTGAAGCGTGAGATCTGTCTGTTTCTCCAATTTTATGAGACTTTTTCCCGTTTGAAGGCTTAAGTCCTATATTATTAATTGCATGAAATAATGTAAAAATTACAAAACCCTTGAACTGTACTGTCTTTGAAATACAGTACTTTTACTATATTTATATTTCTAGATTTATATATTGTATTATACTAATAATTATAAAGTAATATTGTATTTAACTTACGATTTGAGTCATATTTGGGGACGTCGTTCAACAAATAGATGTAAACGTAGAGTAGGAATAATAGACTGATTGAATATAAATAGAGATAAAAGCCCTGCAAAAGAATAATTAAAATGTAAATTTCATTAAGTTTTGAGTTATACGGTAAGTGGAGTTAAGATAAGAACAGGAAAGAGATAGAGATGTATTGATTGTAGGCATACCTCGAAGTAAAAGAGTGGTATTTTAGGCGTTACGATCTCAGCGGTGAAGAAGGCCAGACACACGACAACCAACAACTGTCCGTATATACTACTGGTCACTATAAAGGCTGCAGTCCTGTAATTAACTTCACAATTAGTCTTAACCTTAAACTTAAAAACAATAAGTCTGTCCTTGAAATTAATAATTTATGTTAAAGTTTAATGAATTTAAACTCCGGAGAAATTTTTCATTGAATTTTATGAAAAGAGAAAATAAGGGCAATAAATGTGGTTTGAGTTGTCAATGAGTCGGTTCGACAATAATGTATTAGAGTTATGTAATATATTTCAATAGGTATTATGAACGCTATTGAAAGTTATGTCATACGTTATATTAAAGCAATTCATACCACATAATAAGTTATGCTTAATTAGACGTCTCTTATTTCATAAATCGATGATTTTTTGTCGTAAAACATTATAAAATTCAACAAAACAAATATAAATATAGTTATGAATTAGTTTTTACTAAACAATCTCATTCATGAATTTTAAACTAGTTAACAAAGTTTGATGACTTCATTGTGAACACAAACCACACTTAAGCTCTTATATAAGTGAATGGATTGGGTGTTTGGGTGGTTGGCGTCCAACTTCCATAATACCGACTTTGAGTTCTTTGGCAGATGAGTGTTGACATGTCTGTCCAAATCGAAAGAGCTTCTGCTGAGACATAGCTTGTAAAGACTGAATTTGCAGTTCCCTTCGCTATTATTACTGATCAATGAACTGAGACTACCAGCCCGTTGTGGCTGTACTGGTGATTGCATAGTACTTCGCCTATGGAGAGATTGGTAAGAGTGGGTACTGTTATGTGTTTTGTGACCCAAACATCTATTTGACGCTCCAATACATCCAATTTGACTGCAACTCAATTGATTACATTGGCCTCAATTGTCTCACTAATAAAGAATCAGTCAATACTAATGAGTTCTCGCTTTTAATTGTCATTTTTGTTTACAAATCACTGTTATTTCACTATAAATACATTATGAGTACATTTACAATGATAGAAGTACTTGTGGTATTTTTATCATATCAAATTTAATTAGAATTAAATTAATAATCTACAACTTTTTCATAATAATAATATTCAACTCTAAGCAATTAATTTATAGAAATAAGTTTGAAAAAGTTAACACACGTTTAACTTAAAATATGTGTATATTTCTTGAATAGTACTAAAGTATTGTTACTAATAATAATGGAATAAACCGGAATTTAAGTTATTATTATAGTTTTATTTAAAAATTAATTTTGAACATTATTTCTATTTCTATTTTATTTTGAGGAAAGCCTAAAAGCTAATGTATATTTTAAATTCATTCATTTATGCGATCATTTACTATAAGTACAGTATTGATAAGAATAGATGTAAACTATTTCTCAAATAAAACTTTATGCTCTTTGCTCTTGACTTTTGAATTCTTAAGGTTTACTCATTCATTCATATGAACAGTATATGAATTATTTTCAAACATTACTTTTACAATATTGTATTTGATTTTCTGTTGACTTAACTTCTGTTCAGTTTTGTCACTTTATTGCTGTTTTCACAAAATAAATTAATTCAAATAATTTTAGTCTAATGTTGTAAACGTTATATTTCAAGGCAGTCATCGCTACACTTACTATAATTAAGCCAATATTTAGTTATACAGTAAGTGTTGGTTTAGTCATTCAAAAAAAATTGAATTTCTTAAAACATATAAAAATTAACTATTGTATTAAAAATTGTTGCTAATAAATACAAATTACAAAGATGATATTAATATATAACAAAAAATGAGTTGTCTTTTAAAAATTTTAAAATAATATTTAAGGCTAGATTGTGTTACTATTTATAATTCTCAATTATTATTAAATAATTTTATTGATTAATTGTTCAGTGTTTTGCTAAATGATTAGTGATTAGTCACTAATTTTAATTTTAAAAATCAGAAATGGAAATGACGATTAAAATCTAAATATGTTTGAAACTATATAAACTAGTCACATTCTTATGTTTTCCTTTAAAACTAAATCTAGATTTAAATACATTTTATTTTATACTAGCAAGTAATAATTATACCGTATATTTAATTTAAATTTGCCATTAACTTTGAATAAAAAATGAGCTATTTTGAATAAATTTTTATTAATTTCAAGTAATGTTAAAATTCATTATTATAATCCTTTACTTACAAGTTAAACATTTTAGACACTCAAAAATATCAAACTCTAAAACAACAGGAAATCAATTATTTAACTTTATTTTTAAAATTTTAGTTTAGTTTTTTTTAACTCAAACTAAAAATAAAATGTGTTTAGTTTGTTTTTAAATTTAAAACCTCAAAATGGTATTAAAAGCAAATAAAATTTTCAGATTTACTATAAACGAATTTTTCTTACAGTTAAGATTTAAATTTTAGATTATATATTTTTGTTTAATATACCAAAATATATCTCACAAATTATATATAGTAAAATATTGTATAACCATGATACAATATTATTAGAATCATGTTTATTAATCATGTTTTTTGTTTGTTTGATCAATATACAAAATAATGATATTAAATTTAAGTTACCGGTAATATTTAGAATTTATTCATATAATATATGATTATAAGAATAGTGAATTTATGACCGGTTTATTAAAGAATATTACAGTATATTAACATTTA